AGTGGAGGGTCCAGATGGATTAAAGATGCAGTAGCTTTGAGTGAGGAAGGGAATGGTCCTTCAAACTCATCAGATGGCTGTGCTGCTCCTGCCACCAGCCCTGGCAGCATCTCGGCCCCAAGACACAGCTAGCAGCCAAGGGGGAAATTCACCAGGAGCAGCTGTCCTCACCTTCTTCCTTCTGACCCTTGAGAATAAATGCGACATGGGACATCACCTTAAACCAGGGAAATAACGCCTCTGAGTGCATTTCTGCTCCTCCTAACATCACTTCCATCCTGCAGCTACAGAATTTTGTATTAGCTTTTGTACTGAATTGCCAACAGAAATCCCAAGAGATTCAGTCTCAAAAGTATGCCTAAAGAGGGAATATGGTCTGGATGTAATTTAGCTGCCATTGCCCAGCAATTCCATAGATCTCTTTGACTTGTGACATTAAATATATGGAGCAAGCACATGAATGGATTAACATACACAGTCCTATAATTAGCTATGTTATTAAATTTGCTAAGTAGTTGGGGGAAAGGGGCTTGTTTGCCATCTGTTTAAAAAGTATCTCTCTTTCCACTGAAATCTGGATATAAAAAACCCCAGACATGTGGGCATGACTGCCTTACATACATTACTGGGATTATTTCCCTTGAGTTAACCAAGACAAGCATGATTCATATACCAGTAGAATGTTGTGCAAAAATGTGCATAGATTTTTTCACATAACGTTCCTTTTCATTCCCATTATAAATTATGAATCATGTAAACATCATGAATTACAGAGTTTTTTTGTTGATCTGGGATTTTTATTTTTTTCCCCATGACCCTAAAACCTACTTAATAGAAGAGTAATTATACCAGGCAGTATGGTAAATTCTGCCAGAAAATGATTTTTTAATTCTACTCTTGTCACTATGTAAACACACAGTTATTTGCTTTAATTTCCCTAGAAAACTTGAAATAACCAAACTGTAATTTTAGAACCTAAACACATACACACTCACACACACACACACACACACAGACACACAGACACACAGACACACTCACACTCACACACACACACACTCATATTTCCACTGACTCTGAATACAGAGCATGTTTGTATTGCGAGAAAGAAAAATTTGCACTGGTTAGAAAAGAGATGCATATTAAATATATAATCATTAGCCTCAGCTATGTGGAAATTGTCTAAAAGTATGAAAACAAGCTGAGCTCTAAATAGCTTAGAGTAAGGCCCTGGTTCCTCAGTCAGGAGTTTCGTGAGAGCTTGTACTGTAAGAGCACAAGAAAAAGACAGCATCTAAACTGAAAGATTCCAGAGTATGGGAAGCTCTCCAAAAGGGTAACTGAGCAGTACTTTAAGCCAATATTTCTATGTAGAGCCTTACCTTTAATGCCACATTTCTTTAGAGAGATGAGCAAGCATTTGTGATTTCCAATGAACCATTTACATCAGTGTCTGCAGTATGCAGACCAAATGTTTTATCAGCTTTTTTCCAAACAGTGAGTATAATAGCAGTACAAAAGTACAGGTGAAAGCAAGGAAACCTGGATCTGAGTGGTTTTTCCATTTGCCTCAGGCTAGCTGAAAGGATGTTCCGTTAGCTCAGAGGCAGAGAGACCCACTGGAACATTCATTATGAGTTTGAGGTTCAGTCGCACATCTGTGATAATTTATCTGTGATAAATGTAAAAGTCACAATAAAGCAATGGAGAAGGCACAGCATAAACCAAGAGAGGAACATAAAGGGAAGGGAGCTGTAAGGTACCTCAACATGTACAGTCTTAGCTCCAGTCTTCCCATACTGTCATCAGAGAGGGTTAAGCTTTCAGCGTGGGTGCTCTGAGTCACTGCCTGGAGGAGCTCAAGAGGTGATTATTTATACAGCACATTAACCACACAGGACTATATAGAAGGTCTAAAGTTCAGGAGCTGAACATGAATACTCCCCAGAAGGTGTGGAGTTTGCATTTCTTTCTATTTGCCACTATCCCCATGGTGCCTGTGAGCTCCTCCAAGCCACATTATAGAAGATGAAGAAACTTTCTAATTTACACCAGCCAGAAACAACTGCTATCAAGGATCAAGAGTAAAGTTTCTCTCGCTATGTCTTCCTCTCTGGCAGTGGTAAACACCAAGTTATATGTTGGATATTTGTCCCTGCACAGAATAAAGTGGTCAAGATAAACTAGCTGGGTATTATTTGCACACAAATGAAAGAAAATTAGAACGAAAAAAGAAACTCTAATAAGGTTTCTAAAAGAAACTTTAATAAGGACCCTCATCCATCTGTTTTTCGTTAGGGATGCTTTAACATTAGCTAAATATCACTTATTTACACCTGAAGAAGTTAAATGATCCTGTTCCCATGAACTCTCTTACAAATGCTGTCCTAGTCTGTGATTTATATAAAAGTAGCTGTTCCCTTAATTTTATTCACAATAGCTTCATTCTTACCATATGAACCTGCTTTGTCAGTATTCGCTTTGATTTATGGAAGATTTCAAACTACCAAAATAACTATCCCTTTTCTTTTCATTAAAACTAATCCCCACAAAGACACTTTCATCTGCTGATTAGTCATGCTTCAGCAATCCTTGCTAACCAGAGGCTAAGTTATTGATGTGTTAAAGATGTAATTGCAGAGATTCAAGACCACTGAAGAAAATTCAACGTGTTGTTTGACAGTGTCAGAATTTAGCAGTGTCTTGGCTTTTCGAACCAGCCTGGGTAGCATTGCTCAGCAGCATGGTCAAATCTCTTCAGTTAAGCTACAGGCAAGGAAGGCTGTGTTAGGAAGTGTTTCAAGTCCACAAACATGCTGCATTGAAGATATGAAAAGAAGGGATAGGGATTTCCAAAATACTTCAGGGAAGTTGGAGCCTCACCTCATTTAGCATGAACAAACTGAATTTCAGTGCTTCTCAACACTGCACCCAGCACTTTAAGCCAAAGAGGCAATGCATTTTGCATTATAAATTGTACATTTAATTCATAATCATGGCTCATGTTTCTCCAGCCTTGTCTCATTTGCATGTTTACTTAGGAATTAACTAAGCAAACCCATCTTGTACCTTTTCATGCTCTGACCACTGTGAAACAATAATTTCTTCCTGGCCATCACTGTCTCTAAGTGATTTTACGTTTAGAGAATGATAAGTTCAAATACTAGAAGCAGTTTCCCATGAACTGATTATCATCACAAATGTTTCATATAATAGTTTGGTGTGCTGTAGGTGTGCTAAGGAGAATAAGGACTTGTAGTGCTCTAGAACCCATCTCTAAAACCTAGAAGCAATGGAGGTCTTCAAAACTAACCCACCACCCAGTGAAGCAGCTTGCATTATGCTTTAGAAAAGGGGATGTGACAAGCCTGGACTGCCACTTCCAGCAATCAGGACCTCTCTGATTCAACTGTGATTGGCAGCTACATGACAAATTTAAGTTCAACATAATACACCCTTGTCACAGCTACACCACAGCTCCCTCAGTTATATGTGTATTCATGGCTGATGCTTCAGTATCATGAACTTAATAGCTGTGTGCTGTTTAAGAAATTAAACATGAGTGAGACCTGCTCTAAATCCAAGTGATTTTACAATTGGAATGTAGAGGTCTCCAAGCAATAATCCTCTTAATTTGTTGTGCAATCACCTTTTGGGACATAAACATATATTCTGTTGCCATTACTCTTAATCATCAAGCTGTAATAAGAGCCACTTCACTTGGGTCTTCTCCATCTTTGATGGACAATTGCAAATTAGTGCCAGCGAGAGGCCATCCTGGATGTCACAGTCAGCCTGGGCTGGAAAATAGCTTGGCTGGTTTTGGGTAGTAAGGAGCCTGAACAGATACATCCTGCTGAGCCTGAGCTGGCTGCCTTCTGGGCTAGGCCAAGAGTCCCCAAGCTGAAGGAGATGACAGCATGGAGCCCCACACAGAGGCTCAAATGGGTCCTGGCCCAAATGACACAATTGCACCATCACAAGAGCTGGGCTGGCTCTGTGCACCAAGGCATCACTGCAGGAGTCCTGATTCCACTTTGTGCTGCTCCTCTCCCACAGCCCTGTTACACAAATAGCCAAGCACTGACTGCACTACGATGCCACTTTGTCCCATTTTCAAAACTGCTGCGTGGATGAGCCCACACTCCCTCATCACTCATTCTGTTAGATGAGCTACAGGTTTGGGCCTTCTGTTCCATGATCTTACCATTACTTATGTTTGACCTGGATCAGCACAGACATATGCCTTTCCTGTCTTCTGTGATTCAATCTCAAATGCTCTTCACTGATAGACTTAGTCCTCATTTCCATTTTCATGTAGTGTGATAGAAGACGCCAATGATGCTGCTTCTGCCATGTCCAGCCTTGTACTCATAGCACTCTTTTGTATCACTGTGTTTTTCCCCATGGTTGACATTTCACCCATATTAAGTCAGTCTTCCTTACTCTGAAGCATAAACTTATTACATGTCCTTACTGTTTAGTAAAGCCATGAGCCAGATCAGAATCCCCCCTTCCTCATGGATATTAGCACAGAGCAGCATGTACAGGGTTCATGAAAGCCAGCTTTCTGCCTTCTTTCTAGCAGCTGCTTCTTCATCTGGTGTATTTCTGGACGGACAGCATCCAGTTCCAGGGCAAATACTGCTCCGCAAGGAATGTTCTTGGAATTCTCTGGCTGAGCTCGGTCTGTGAGCCCAAATCCACTGAGCACAGATAAATTGGTCCATTGTTAATTTGTGCTGGAAAGCCCTGCTGAGTATAGGAATATGCCAGGAACACAAATCTCTGAGATCCTCTTTTCAATTGAAATGGCTTCTTCTCACTCACTTAATTTACCTTTCAGTTTTGTCCTGGCGAGCTAAGACTGATGACTGCTCCACATGCCATATCAAAGATTTGCTCCATCTAGGCATAAATCACGCTTGGAAGGGGCATTGAACTCAGGCCTGCAATTGGACCTGGTCCTGCAGATTGCCTGCTGCAAGATGCCCTGTGGAGTCCTGTGTCAGCCACTCATTTGGTACTGCTTTTATGGGAAAATAAGCCAAACGAGCTTATTGAGACCTTACCCCTCACTTATAGAAGAGTTCTGCATTATCTGCAGCTGGGACAATCTGACCTTAGGCTGCATGGCAAATAGAAAAAAACCCACAAACTCTTTCAATGGTCGGACTAAATCAAGTCTGCTCTGATTTGTGTCAGGGTCACCACTCATATTTGTTTTTTTTATTGTACATTTAAGGCCAGAGTTTAGATCCTATAACTTGTGCAGCCTAAAGGGAAGACTCAAGAATTTGACTTCCTTTTTGAAATACCTTCATTTCTTCGCTTTTGAGGAATGATCAGTTACGGTGAGCAATTGATCAGATTAAAGTGTACAAAATCACTCATAATCTGTATATGTCAAATTCCAAGGAAATTAGGCTATTACTAGTGAAGAAAGACAGCACAGAGGAAAAACATGTTTTCACTGTGACCTGGCAGTTCACTGACTCAGAGACAGGCTATCTGTACCAGATCTGTGAAGCAATCCAGAATATTTCAACCAGCTGGGTTGGATAATGCTGACACACATGAGACAGAGCCAATAGTTGTATCTCACAGAGGCTCAGTGTAACTAACAGGTGGTTTGTTGTTCCAGAGCCTTTGCATGATTCCACCCTAATTTAAGTCTAATATAAAACAGTGTAGTTGGCGTCTGTATTGACTGTCCATAGACCTCTGATTTCTGTGGGTAGGTGAGTACTGATTACACAGACAATCAGTTTGTACAGCTCTTTGAATGACTCTTCATCCCCATTGAAGTGTCTGGAAAACCACACTTGGATATGCTAAGGAGTGTGTCTTGTTCCTGTAGCCCAGGCACCATTTTCACCTGATACTGAGTTGGGCACCTAGTTCCTTCATCTCTCTTTTGCAGATGTCATTGAGAACCAGCAATTTCAGAAAGGACACCCCATTATTCAGTTTGCAAATACTGATGTATATCCCTTTGCCAATGGCTTATCAACCCCTTCTCATCTTGTTACCCAGGATGATTTTACAGATATCCTCAAAAGATCCTGATGAGATTTCTTGATAACAATAGGACAAGAAAGGTAGCTATTAGGTGGCTTTCTAAGCCCTCCTTTCTCCTTCTCTCAGGTAGTTTTCTTTACAGAGAGTTAAACTGCAGCAGGAGTGGTCTTATCCTTGGCACAGGTGTCACTAGCAATAATCAAAACCTAAACATCTTCAAATACATGCTGAATGCTTCTCCCTCTATGTGGCCTGGAGCACAGATAGCAGCTTCTCTGTGGTGAGAAAAAGCACCCCTGAGGACCCTCAGGCTCACAGTAACATTCACCCATGCGAGACAGGTTACTTTCTCTGTTGAATACTTGGGAATGTTCTTTGACATCCTTACTTGTTGTTTTCTCCCCCAGAAAAGTATGAAGTGTGTCTCCAGTAGTTTCCTGGTGTCTCCTGTAGTCTTCCAAAGTATGCTATGGTGGTATGACTAATGAGGTAGGAGTGGATGAGCAAAAATACTTTCACTTTTTCTGTCCCAGTAGCTGTATCTGTGCTAGTATCTCAAACTCTGCCAACCCTGAGACCTAGAGGTACATCCATACTCTTGAGCTTTCTTGCCCACCAAAGCATGGGACAGACTGATTCATTCTACCTATGGGTCTAATCTATGGCTTGTGCCATCTCCTGACACAGGCAGGGAAAATTTTGGGAGAATGTTACTTAGCATTAGCCAGAAATATGCCAGGAACCCCAGCAACAATTGAGCAACATAAACACATTTTGATGCCTGGGAACATTTCTTGGTACTATTGTTTTATTTTTTCCATTATATTGCTTAAAATTTTTTGAGAGCTTTTTAACTGCTTTCCAGTTGAATATTTCCTAGATCCAAGATGTAATTACTCAAGGGTACTAATTCCTGGCTGGTAAAATAAATCTTCCTAGAGAGCACTTTGCAGACAATCTGAGCGACAGCACAGAGATTTTTATTTGTTTTTTAGGGCATATCCAGCACTTAGTTATATGGCTGGAACATTCTGCTCATACTTGGAAGTCTATGGGACAGGAATTCCTGGTCTCACCTCTTGTTCATAGTTCATATTCTTCGGCTATTCATGGCATAGAAATTGTCTGGCTGTTGTGCAGACTTATGGAGAAGGTAGGGTGAATCATACTTGTAGTGTGAACATGTCTTTTATTCTAGGATATTCTTTCACTGGAGAAGTTCATAACAACTGGTTTGGTGTAGGGAACCTGAATCTGATGTTATGCTATCTGTATAATTTCTGCTGTAATCCATGAATTTACTAGTGAGTTTATCTCTTTCATGTTCCTTGAGAATCAAAAGCAGCCTAAGTTGTTTCAAGTGGGCATGTTGAAGCCTTGCTAGTGTAAGTGCTACAGGGTAGTATAAACCTGTATAAACCATCTCATTCTTTGACAGTGGCAGAAGATCCTTAATGCTCAGATGAATCCAGGAATGGATGGTAACAAATGTTTTGTCTGGTGTCTCTTCATCAAAGTTAGTAGAATAGCTACAAGCTAGGGTGTTTCTACCTCCTCCACTCTCATTATTGCTTAGAATCCAGTGCCAGAATAATTAGTTCATTGCTGAAGAACTTTACAATGCATTTCTTAGCAGATCTCATATCTCACACAAGGCAACAACTCACAGGTCTGAGTCCAAGAACAAGAGGGTATTCCAGCTGAGACTGGAAAAGGAAAAAACGTTACATTAGTTGAAGCCAGTTCATGTAGTCCATGTCCCCCACTAGAGCACCACCCTCTAATCCAGATGACTCTGGATTCATCTCATACACTCCCAATCGAGCATACAGGACAGACAACATTCACAGTGTACATAAGAGTGATAAAATTCAGTTCTTATCTCCATGTCAAAGGTCCCCAGGCTGTGGATCACAAATGTAAATGAGAGCAGCTGAATGCTTTTCCATTTTTGCTTGTGTTTTTACCATGGGGTTTGAAGTGTCACATTCTGTAATATAACTTCCCTTTTCTAGTCACAAACAAATGACATCTGGCCACTTTCAATAACAAACTTAAAGAGAGGGGACATTTCCTTTCAGCTTGTTGGGCCCCTTCTTAACCTTCAAATTCCAACGAGAGCTGAGGAGAAGGAAAACTTTTAAAAAATAATCCCCTAATGATTAAGCTTACCCATGGAGAAAAACTTTGCTTCGAGCCTCTGAGTACTGATTGCCTCACACAATCTCAAACATCCTGACACAGTTAATGCTTGAGGAGCTGTTTGCTGCTCCCACTCTTGTTCTTACATCATACAGGAAACGCTGGCAGGAAATGAAAGTTTAGGCAGCCTTCTCCTCCCTCAACACCTTGAGCTTACAAGTCTAAGACAGAAAGCACACAAGGAAGAATAAAGGTGGGGTTAGAGCACTGGAGAGGCAGGCCAGACGCAGATAAATCACATACCTTGATTTTCCTGTCTGGCACAACATTCAGTTTTCTTTCTGGAGGTGCTTCTGTCAAATAATCTGGGTTTCACTGAGCAGGAAGTTTTCACTGTCTATCCCACATGGGGGCTTGTCATTCAGGGTTGTGTAGGCTGAGTCTGCTTTGTGCCTGTGTCACCTCAGTGGGCATTTTTAAAGGAATGCAAATAAATTAAATAACTCTCTTTTTAATTAAAAGAATGGGATCCCAGCTCTTGACGTATCCCCAGTCTGAATATTTTTGTCACCACAAGGATGTGGTAGAGTCCTTTGTTTGTGTGGGAAAAGTGTGCTTTCAACCAGACTCACCCAGCTTTTTTAAACTGAGAGCAGAGAATGGCTGAGGTTATCAAGATGAATAAAAATTGGGGAAGTCATTGTGAGCAGAGGAAATGAAAAGCTCTTTTCTTCTTCTGTTCTTAGTCAACAGAAATACCGGACACATAATTTTAAAGGTTCAGGACAAACCACTACCAATGGTGCAACATGTAGTACAGCCAGAAGAGACAATTTAGGGACTGTGAATGGAGGTGCAAGGCCTCCTCCTGATGATCTGCAAGAGCTTCTTTCAGGGCTGATTCAGGATAAAGGAAGATTCCCTATGGTTTTCCTATGGCTCGGATAGTGGCACCATCCCTGCCACCACAGTTAGTTAAAGGTTTTCTAGATAAATGTTTTTTCTCTTTCTGATGAAGACACAATATGTAGAAAACATTTTCTGTTGAAAATATTGAAATGCTAAATGGAAATGCACCATTTCTACTCCTGGTTCTGTCTGCCTGCCCAGCCAGCTGCCTGCTCAGCTCCCTTCTAGCTCCCTTGGCAGGTGCAAGACTTCTGTCTTGTAAAGTGCTTGTAAAAGCACCTTTTGGTTCCAAAACACTAGGAAGTGCCACAGCAAGAGTTGTCTGTTTTTCTTAAAGCAAATGTACAACTATTGCCAAAGCAAAGCTAATGGGGACTGCAGGAGCCAGGCAGAGATTCAAACTTCTGGACTGACATCATCACAATATGAAACAAGAAAATTTATTTAAAAAAAAGGTATGACATTTTCCCACGAACTCACAGAACAGTAGAAAGCCCTCCAGGTTTCTGTGGAATACAAGGCTTGCTTGTGAGTCTCCTACCAAAAGGCATTGGCAGGCCACCCCAGCCCAGGTGGGTTCACCAGTGCATGACTGCTTCTTCTCAGGATGCAACAGGCTGTGCCCTTGTGGAGTGCAGCGTCACCCAGATCTCTTTAAATGCAGCCCTTCCTTTGGAGGCAAGTTGCATTTCCCCAGACACTCCCTGGGAGCACCTTTCCCTGCAGGAAAATGCAAGTGAACCTCTTGTGGTGCATGAAGGAAATGCCCTGCATTGATGCTGTCATGTCCCACAGACGTGGCCAGCTTTCATCGTTTTGCTGCACATGGGCTGTACAAAGGGCTGCACAAGTCTCCAAGGCTCTCCTGATTTGTGGTGTAGAACTCTCTAAAGCAGTTGGGAAGTGACAGTGTTGATGTGCAGTCTGCAAGATTTTGGAATATTACCTGGTAATAAATGACAGGAAAAATCATGACCAGGGAGGTGTGGCTCCCCAGCTGCCCTTGTTTACAAGGTTTGTGTCCTGGAATGTCACTGGCACCCTGTCAAAGAGCAGCCTCTGTACCAGCCTTGCTGCCAGGGCATACACACACATTTTGGAAATGAGAAAATAACTGCAATATCCATGTCCATCTACAGAAGAGTTCACCATGGGAGCAAGCAACAGGGCTGGTTTGCCTACTGGCATTGTGAGGCTCACAAAATCTCACTTCAAATCCCACAAACCTGAGATTTAAACTATTATCATAAGACTAGTCTCTTCCTCTGTGCCTTTGGAGGCTGTGATCCTCCACAGCTTGTGCTTCTCACATCTTCTCTTGCTGCAAGGCTTCTAGGAGAAAGAATATGGACTCTCCTAGGATGAGTCACAACATGTGGCCACACTGTTCTGTGGTGATGCAAAGGAAAACACAGCAGTGCTGGTTAGAGACAGTCAACTGTAACCCCCTGTCTCTGCCTGAGGACACAGAAACGCAAGCCATGTCAAGGCATATGGGTTGCTGACTTCAGAGCAGTTGTATACTGTTCCCACCTCCCATTTAGAGGGGATGCTCTGGGAGTCAGCTTAGCTTTCTAGTCCATGAGAAGTTCACCCACAGTTTACATTTTCCAATATTTTCTTGATGACTAACAGTGTTAGTGAACTCTGAGAGCAATCTTTCTGCTGCTGGGTCTGTTTTGCAGGTCCCAGCCTCATCTCTGGCTCTCCCTGCCAGCAGCCTGTTGTCCAAACACTTCCTTTGTCCCTGAAACCCTGTGGTCCAGTACTTTACAGGCTGTCCTACATCTTCCTGACCTGCTACAAAATCTCTTTCCAAAAGCTATCATTCATCAGTTTGTTCCTGATGAGAGTCGTTGATCAAAGCAAAAATGTGGCTCCTTGTACTTGCCACTATCAGAGAATCCCACAAAGCATGTCTAATGTGAGCACCCATGTTCCCAGCAGGCAGGCAAATTGTAATCATGAGTAGATGCACACTGCCCCCAGAAAAGGGCTTGGCTGGGGCCCTATGGGGTGAAAACACTGACTGTGCATGGAGAGAGAAGGAACACAAAGCTCACCATGGCATTTCTGGACCCTCTGCAAAGAGCGGAGCGTATGTGGGCACACACTCAGAGCTCCCTCCCATCCACTTACAGCAGGAATGTGGCCTGGCTTGGAAAATCACAGTGCAAGTACATTGCCTGACTGACACAGAAAAGTTTCTGTGTTTATGGAAAAATGACCAAAAACAAGGCCTGAGTGGATTCTTTCATAACCAAGATCATTTTCTCTCCCACAAGTAGGAAAGCAGAGGGGCATTGCAAGAGAGGGAGATTTTGTTAAGCGGATTAACATATTAACTAAAAATAAAGATTGGACATATTTGGAATTCTAAGATAATCTTGCTTTTCTGGTGACAATAGAAAAAACTCAAGCCTCTCTCCTCTGCTTTCTGTAGTGCTCCAATTCATTTTTTGCCTGTTAATTCATGAGTTTATCTATACTGTACATAAAAAAGATATGTCTATGCCTAGAGCACATGCTGACATTTGGGTACAGATGATCTAGTGATTGACATATTTTGATTCATCAACCCAATGCTGAATACATTACCAGAAGATTTGTTTTGAAATAAAAAGTTGTTCTTTTTTGATTTAATTACTTCAAATGTTTTCCGTATATAGCATCTCCCTTTCATTTTGTCCATCCAAACTCACGAACCTGATCAGGGGAGTGGATTTTTTTAAAACCCCTTCTAGCCTCCACTTAGCCTGAAGTGCCAAACCTCCCTGCCTTTCCAACAGCAGTCCTGGAGCTATGCTTAAGTCCATAGCAGTATGAGCAGGGGAGACATCCCTTGGGGATAATGGTGTCCCTCCTGAGGCTGTGCTGTTTTGGCTTGGCCAGTTCCAGCCCTGGAGGAGATTCATTTCAGTTGTCTCGGGTGCCTACTGATGCTGTGTCCTCCATGGTGTTCATCATACGATGCGCAGGCACACTCAGGCTTTTGCCTTTTACACAATCATAGCTCCTCCTTGGCTTTTTTTGCTGCAAATACATGTTTGATTAAGCAAGTGGATACATGGACCTCCAGCTTCTCCTTAGTGTGTTCCCCTCCCCTCACATCAAGGCAGAAGAGTCTCACTGGGGGCTAGAGGATCACCCCAGCATAGTGGCCTGGGGGTTTATCTATGGCATCCTTTCAGGAGAGTGCCCAGAAAGCCAACAGCTCCACAGGGTGGAGGGGACCCGGTGCCTCCATTGCCTGTGCTATCAGCAACTTGTTTAAATGAAGGTGACTGGTTTATCTTCCAATCTGTCAGCCCTGAGGGGAGCCTTTTGGTGCACACACCCACTTCAGACTTGGTGACCAATTTTACCACTGCAGTTCAAAGTTGTGGGTATTTCAGTCCCTTCTCCCCCAGTCCAGTAGAAAGCACAAGATGCCCCTTGGGGGATTATTTTGGCTACCCACCAGTGGCACAGCCTGGGTGCAGTGTGTCTGCTGGCCAGCAAGCAACCACTCACCTTCCTGTTGGGGCAGGTCTATCCTAGGACTCCAATCTGCTCTACTCTCCTACAGCTTAAAATATTTTCTTCTTTCCATCTGCAATGACAGCTGAAATCTCTCAAGAATTAATGAAAAATAAATGCCATAGCAATCTTCCCTAGGCACCTTCCAATGGGTTTATATGCATATGTGTGTGTGTTTATGTATACACACACACACAGACTGCACCATTTCAGCAGGGGACTTTCTATTTTACATTCTTCTCGGGCTAACACTTGCACTTTAATACCAGATATCACTGTGAGACATAATGAGGGTCATTAAATGTATTTATTAGCTTATTAAAGTGAACTGCCTTCACTGTTGCAGCTGGCCTGTGTTTTATAGAAACCCCAGCAAATCCCCAAAGTCACACAACAGGAGCCCAACACACTTTAGCTGATGACAGAGTAAATATCAAATTTACTAGGGCGAGCAAGTGGCAAACACAGTTCTGGTATGTTATTTGAAAACCTGCCATGAGGCATAATACGTAATTCTCAGCTCATAAGGGTAGAGTTGATTTGGAAGGAAATATGAGAAGAATTTGATAGGATTTAGTAATATTTTCAGGGATACAGTTTAATTATAAGCAGTCAGGAAGCTCTTAGATACTAACTCAAATAACCATTAAAGGCAGAGGAAAAACTTCATCTGCCTATACGAGCTGATCTAAAGTGGATTTTAGTCATAACACATGAGATAGATACACCTGAAGTGCCCATATCTTTAACAAAGTCCATGTGGAAAATAAGTTTCTATTTTGAGTTAAGTTCAGGAACGAACAAAAAGACCCAGTGGATGCTGATTGTCTAAACAAGGTGTACCATGGAGTGCCCAGGTAAATGCATTTGTGTTTTTTCACTAGGCAATCTTTGTTTCTCACAGGCTGTAGTCTGTGAAGCAGCTTTTTCTCCTGATTTTTAAGACATGAATGTTTCTTCTTTCACACTGGGGTTCCTCAACCCTCGTTTCAAACACTCGAGGGACTGCAATGGCAGGGTGTTCTCAGTGACCCAAGCACAGATGGAGGCAAGTATGATGCCAGTGCAGGATGGGGTTCTGCTGCTCAGCACCTTCTCCCAGGAACTTGTTTGGGGGAGAACACTGCTGAGGAGCCCAGCTACAGTGAAGCCCCTCACCGTGGGGATGGGCAGAAAGCTCTGCCCCAGCAAAGCCCCAGCAGCACTGGGTTTAGTCTCCCAGCCCCACAGATTCAGCAAAGGTTGGGATCCTGAAATTGTACTGGGACAGTGCTGCCCTTTAGCCTCCACTTTCAGGCAGTCCTGCATATGTGAAGGTGATGGGAAAGGCTGCAGCTCTCCCAGACGTTTCTTGAGCTGTTCCTCCAGAGCAAAGAAAGCAAATCAGAGAGAGAGATAGAGAGAGAGAGTCATAGATAGATAGATAGATAGATAGATAGATAGATAGATAGATAGATAGATAGATAGATGGATGCAGTATCAGTAGATGCAGAATCAGACACGCTTTTGGCTGGACATGGCTCAAGAGAAATCAGAAAGGAATTAATCACAAGGAAGGAGACTTAGTTTTTAAAAGCTACTCTCATCCAAGCAGCCCTCTCAAATCTGGTTAGGAATAGTCTCCCAGGACACTGGATGAGCAATGAAGCCAGGTGAAGACAGAAGAGCTGCTCAGCCGCTCTGAGATAGCTGTGACTAAGAATGATGACCGCGGTCTGCCTCAACAAAAAAAATAATCTTGTTTTCCTTTTCACTCCCATTACAAGGAACTCACAAATGGGTTTGCATCATTTTCCATAAAGCAGAAGGAAAACCCCTGCTGAGGTATTTTTACTCTCACTCTATCTCACTGTCCTGCTCTAACACCCACAGTTCTCCTGAAGATACAGTCACTGCTTATTCAAAGTTCAAGTGTAGGGGGACCCTGAGCTGTTCTGCCAAAAGCTTTCCCCTTCCCCCTCCACCCCCGCCTGAATCACTGGCAGCAAACATAATGGCAAAGGGTGTCACATTCTTCTTACCGTAATTCTGTAAAGCAGACTGGGATATTTTCCGAGATTTCTTGTACAGCTGGATGCAAGCAACTCTGTGTGTGTGTGCATGTGTGCACACCCAAGTGCCAGTAAATTATCCTAAACTCACATGTTTGGAAAATTGCTGGCTGATTTGGCTGTTTTCTCATAACTAAGTGTGTGCATTCAAATTATAATTGAAGATTTACGTCTTCAGGCTTTATTCTTCCAAGCTCTTTGTTAAATTTCATATATGAATAACACGAAAGCATATCCCAGATAGCCGAAAGGCATGAATTGTAAGTGCCCACACCTCTATACACACATTTTTATAATGGCTTAGGCTGACATGAGCCAGGAAATTCAGAGTTTGGTCTCACATGGTCTTAATTCATACCTTTGAACACACAAAATCTTCTCCCTACAGGGTTATATTTTAAAAATAGCCAGTGGGACTTAACTCCAAATTTCTGTACAACTCTGATTACATTGGCTCTTTCTTTTTCAGCTTTATCTTTTATAGAGTTTCTTGCTCATTTTTCAGGAAGATAACAGTTAGAAAGAGGGAGTGGGAAAATATTAATTAGTTTTCTATAAGACTAGTGTTATTTTTGAAGTGCTGGGGAATTTTTTTTTCATTTTAACATATCTTAAGCCTGTGTATATTTGATATGTTCTTATCAACACAGCAAAAGATACTGTAATTAAGTGATCCAAGGTCTCAACAGCTAAGAAATGCCAGAATAAATTGCTTGCACAAGTCTGTTCACTTTTCTTACACTTATGTCCAAGGAAATGGCTTCCACTTAGGGTCAACACATATTCACTCTGGCACTTGCCCTTATCAAATCCCTCTGCCCTCTGTGTCTTCCTGGGTTGCTGTCACCTTGGCCAGTCAAGGCCAGTCATCCAAAGTACTCATCACATCCCAGCCTCTCATCCCTCTTACCCTATTTTCCCATGTGTCTCCTAAGCTCCTGGCCCACAAAAGCCAGAGTAATCTCCCAGCTCTCCTCTCAAAGAGTGGCTCTCACTGAAAACTGGCACATCACAGAGGAGAGAAATTGGCTGTAGATCAGGTGATTACTTTTCA